TCTAAAAGTTAACCTCTTGCACCTGGTTTACGGACCATAACGAGTGACCAAACGGTATGCAACAATTCGTCGCTTTCTTTTTGAACTACCGTCGGTATATCACTGGTTAGAAATTATTACTAAAAAGTAATAAATTATTTGTTCTGCCTGGGTTATATTTAAATATACTGAGGAAATATTGCAATTTTGGGACAAAAAATTCTCGACGTGCGTTGCACGCCATTCCAGCGCAAGATGTAAGCCCATTTATGGCCATCAAAAACGTGTTACTTCCTAAACAATGTTTATCACACTTATCTGATTTAACCCTTGGTAATACAAGAACATTATCAGTTACCAATATCTTTAAATTTATCAAAACGCAAGCCGTTAAATATCTTGATTTGAAGATATGAAACGGTCATTTTCCAAAAAAAGTGACCATATATCCCCTTTAAAACAGGGATTCCTACATCGAATTCCTACATCGTCGACAAAGGGAATCGTTCGTCTCATCCTAGTCTGGATAACAGGTAGTTCCCGGAAAAATCTGGTCATTTTTCCGGAATACTCGAGCCGCATCGTGCTGTGCTGGATGAGTAGTCTCCTTTGTCCGAGTTCTCGGTACGTGGCATCTGCGAAACGAAGCGGCCGTGGCTCGCGTGTTGTGGAACACGAAGATTTCGTTGGCAGGTAACGGAGAGAGGCTGCTGAAGAATAAAAGTGAGGAGGGTTGGACGAGTGAAACGAAACGAAACTGGGAGGCGAAAGGAGCCAAGGAGCGAGGAAGGGATCGACCAGAGCCCAATCTCCCTTTTCGCTCTCCGATCGTATAATTTACTGCTCGGATTTCTCACCGGTGGGGTTGGTCGTCGTCGGACGTTGCTCGCAACCATCGGCGTAAACAGATCCTCTCTGGCTCTGGTTTTTTCGTAAAATTCAAAATCACCGTCCGCCATGGAACATGCAAGAAATATTATATTTGTATAAACAAATATAATTTGTACCAAGTTTTGAACAGAAGCAGGGATATTTTATTTCCACAGAGTCATATATGTCGGAAGTTTTTAATCAAGGTTTTCTGTGATTTCAAAAGAAAAAAAAAAGATTGCACGAAAATCCGCACTTTTATTTATTTTACAGAACTATTTTTAAATTATTACATTTTTATTCTATTTAAATTGTTATTATTTAAATTATTTTTAAATTATACGGAATATTCGAAAACTACTGTTACTTTTATTGTTAATGTCAAAATATTTACGAACGTATGGCAATCACCCTTTAAAGGAAGAACTCGGTTGCTAGCGCGAAAAAACTAATTCTCGAAAGACTACTTATTGTTTGTCAATGATAACGTAGATAGAACGTACGTTCTTCTGTCCGTTTCGAAACTAGACTTGATAAAAACTGTACCGTATTTGTATTTACCTTGTAACCGTGTCTGAAGTAAAGTGTGCCTGATCTAACGTTGCGCAACTGAAAACTAGATGATGACGAGTGCATGCAGAATAGATGCACCTGCCGTGTGATTCGACTTGAGTTTAATTTACTTCTTTTAAAAGAAACCAGTGATTTTATTCATCATTTATCATAATTCAATTAAGAACTGATCAAATTTTATATTTAAATACAAAAAAGTATTATTGAAATATTTCGTTCTGTAGCGAAATAAATCTCGAGAGGTGTATATATCTTTTTTTTAAGCTTTGATCTCACAAAAAAATTCGAAAAAATTGTCAAGAAAATATGAGATATAAATAAAATCTACGGGAGATGTTATTATTTCATAATAACATAGTGGAGCAAATTATTGTTTCCATTTTCATATTTTATTTTATTTATTTCACGATACATTATATGGATTTCACGCGTGTCAAAGATCGAGCTATTTGTCGAGTAAATTTTATCAGAGTCACGAATCTTGACTGGGAGAAGCCCAATGACTAATCGCAATTTAGCAAAATCATTTGCAAATAATGCGATAAGCAAAGATTGCACGTACAATCATTAATCTCATAAGATACT